AATATTGTGACCAACCGTAGGTAACAAACAACATTCAAAAAAAATTATTTTGAGCAGTGTGGCAATGTGGGTGGCTCGCCCTCTGTAGAATGAGTATCGGCATGGCGTTTTCTTAATCCAATCTTGGGTTTTCTGGCATTGCCAAGTAACTTGTCGCATGAAGCTACGGCGTTGCAAAAAGGATTTTGCTCGAGAAGGTGCGCTAAGGATGCTGTGGTACCAGGCATACCGATCACTTAGGCCGTTTTCATTTCGGCCGAACAATGTCGACCGCCGCTCACTTCGGCCGCAAATCCTTTCGGCCGACTCTTATCTTTGCCTAATTTAGGCAAGAAAACATTATTTTTGATGTAACAACCTTGCGTAGTTCCATAATCTTTCGAATAAAGTAAGAATAACCTAAGAACAAAGTAATAACAACTTAAGAATAACTTAGGAATAACCAAAGGAAGTCAAGCAACCGAAGATAACCTAAGAAAACCAAGAAGGATAAAAATAACCTAAGAAACATAAGAAAACCTAAGCAGACAAACCTAAGACAACCTAAGACAAGGGCTACCGATCACTTCTGCCGTTTTCATTTCGGTCATGCTCATTTCGGCCTAACTTTTTCGGCCGCCGTTCGTTTCGGCCGAGGCTCACTACGGCCGCAGCTCATTTCGGCCGACGCTTGTTTTGGTCCAATTTGGGCAAGAAACGTTACTTTTGATGTAACTACGATTAAATGGTACTATAGTTTTTCGAATAAACTAAAAGTAACCTAACTATTACTTAAGAATAACCGAAGAATAACCAAAGAAAATCGAAGAAACCTAAGAATAACCTAAGAAAACCTAACAAAACTAAAAAAACCATAAGAGAACTTAGAAACCTAAGAAGCCTAAGAATTCTAAGATTTCTAAGATTTTTAAGATTTCTAAGATTTTGAAAATTTCTAAGATTTCTAAGATTTCTAAGATTTCTAAGATTTCTAAGATTTCTAAGATTTCTAAGATTTCTAAGATTTCTAAGATTTCTAAGATTTCTAAGATTTCTAAGATTTCTAAGATTTCTAAGATTTCTAAGATTTCTAAGATTTCTAAGATTTCTAAGATTTCTAAGAATTCTAAGAATTCTTAGAATTCTTAGGCTTCTTAGGTTTAAATCTTCTTAGGTTCTAAGAATAACCAAAGAAACCTAAGAAACCTAAGAAACCTAGGAGACCTAAGAAACCTAAGAAACCTAAGAATTCTAACAATTCTAAGAATAACCTAAGAAACCTAAGAAACCTAAGAAACCTGAGAAACCTAAATCACCTAAAATAATAACCTGGAAAACTTAAGAAACCTAAGAAAACCGAAGCAAGATAACAAAAATTAGGAAAACTTGGGAAACTGAAGATGGCCAATTGTCCTTCTGCCGAAATGAGCGGCGGCTGAAATGAGTGCTGGCCGAAGTGAGCCTCGGCCGAAATGAACGTTGGCCGAAATTAACACATGCGGCCGAAGTGATCAGACGCGAAGAAAAGCTAAGAAATCTAAGAAAACTTAATGAAACGGTAGTAAAACGAAGATAACCTAAGAAAACATAAGAAGCCAAAGAATAACTTAAGCAAACCTTAGAAACCTAAGCAGACAAACCTAAGACCCCTAAGAAACCTAAGAAACCAAAGAAACCTGAAAAAACTAAAAAACCTAAGGAACCTAAGAAACCGTAAAAACCAAAAAATACCTAAGAAAATTGGTTGCATTGCGTTTACTTCCTTCTCTGTTTGAAACGAGATTTGCAAAGTTCGTTATGTTCAACTGGTAAGCAAACTGGCGATCAGCAAGATTGTGTCCTCTGCAATGTGTCTGTCAACGATTTGTCGATTGCCGACATTTTGTTGACCGACACGTGAGCTGTCGATCAACGAAAGCGTTTTAGGAAAATGTCGGCCAGCAAGTTTGCAGAAAAAGAAATTGTGGGTCAGCAATCTGTCGGTCAGCAATTGTGTCAATCAGCAACATTTCGGTTAGCAAATTGTCGGGCAGCGAAACGGAGGTCGGCAACTTGACGTCCTACCGATTAAAGGTAAGCTACGGATTGCTTCCAAATATAAAAACAATGAGAAACCTGAAAAAATTATAAAATTATAGAAAAAAATAAAAAAGACCTAAAAAACCTAAGAAAATATAGGACAAAAAAAAGCAACAATATGAAAACATAGGCACACTTATGAAAACGTAAGAAATTCAAAGAATAAGACTTTAGAATAGAGTAAAAAAAGAGAAAATATAAAGAAACCCAAAAATAAGAACTCATAGTTACATAAAAATTTACCAAAACGTGTGTAAAAAAGGAACATAAGAAAAACTTACAAATCACAGTGCCCGAAATGTCCACTTGCCAAAATGGCTTTAAGCCGAATTGAGTGCTGTCCGAAGTGGGGCTCGGCTGAAGCGGTTGCGACTGGCCGAAGCGTATTGTGGCCGAAACGATTGCCTACCGCAAAACTTTGGCCGATACGGAAATGGCAGAAGTGATCGGTTGCCGTGTTTCTGTTGGTTCACGGGGTACAGAGGTAGTGTGACAGCTTGCATGCAAGTGAGAGTTATCTCGGTTCGCTTGTGGTTCCATTGTGGTTCCATGTGGTTCCATTGGTTCCATTGGTTCACGGGGTACAGCGGTAGTGTGACAGCGTGCATGCAGTTAAGAGTGCTCTTGGTTCGCTTGTGGTTCCATTGTGGTTCCATGTGGTTCCATTGGTTCCATTGGTTCCATTGGTTCACGGGGTACAGAGGTAGTGTGACAGCGTGTGTGCAGGTGAGAGTGCTCTTGGTTCGCTTGTGGTTCCATTGTGGTTCCATGTGATTCCATTTTTTCAATTGGTTCACGGGGTACAGCGGTAGTGACAGCTTCCATGCCGATGGTAGTGCTCTTGGTTCGCTTGTGGTTCCATTGTGGTTCCATGTGGTTCCATTGGTTTAATTGGTTCACGGGGTACAGCGGTAGTGACAGCTTGCATGCAAGAGAGAGTGCTCTTAGTTCGCTTGTGGTTCCATTGTGGTTCCATGTGGTTCCATTGGTTCACGGGGTACAGAGGCAGTGTGACAGCGTGTATGCAGGTGAGAGTGCTCTTGGTTTGCTTGTGGTTCCATTGTGGTTCCATGTGGTTCCATCGGTTCCATTGGTTCACGGGATCCAGCGGTAGTGTGACAGCGTGCATGCCGATGAGTGCTGTTGGTTCGCTTGTGGTTCCATTGTGGTTCCTTGTGGTTCCATTGGTTCCATTGGTTCAACTGAATCCGTTTTACGTTAGCAGGCTTTTTGCTCGGTTCCATTGGTTCTGAACCCAGCGAACCGCTCGTGTCCTGGATTATGGGTTCATTCCTATGGAACCACTAATGTCCTAACTTGGACATTCTATGTGTACCTGGTACACTACGAGACGACAGCTTTAGTGATGGACACTTTGTGGTACACTGTACCAGAAAGTGTCCATCACTAAAGCTGTCGTCGGAGCCGCCATTGAACTAGCAAATGGATTACTATCAAGGTAAAAGGTCCTTTTAATTTTGACCTAACTATGTCATATGTCATATAAAATCATTTCAGGAGATCTCGCTGGTTTTCTAAAGGAGGCCAGGCAAGACCCAGCCCTCTTAAAAAGTTATAAAAAAGTTGCTCAGCTTGTGGCGTGCGTGGCGTGCATAGCAAGACTACTGGACTTCCTCCATGAGAACAGCATGATACACGGGGATTTGAAGCTGGAAAATGTTCTTGTAACCGTAAGAGAAGGGGGCCGCAAGGAGCTGCTGATTAGTGACTTGGATGATTTAGTGCAAATGCAGGGAAACGCCACCTGTTCTGCAGATATTTCGCATCTACGTGGTACGATTCGCTACATGTCACCCGAAATGCTGAGAAAATTTTCCCAGCAACCGACAGAGTCCGGGATGGAAAACTGATATCTGGAGTCTGTGTTGCATAATTCTGGATATGGCCGAAATATCCACGGGTGTGAATGACAAACGACTCGTTAAAGATGGAAACACTGTAGAGTGGGACGCCACAAATAGCCATTTCGATTATGCCACGAAGATAATCAATGGTTACGTACCCTTAGTTAGCGAGAAAATTGCCCCAAACCTAGTTGATCTCATTCGAAAATGTTTGGATCCAGTTGCTGCGAATAGGATATCAGTTAACACATGTGCTCTTTCGGTTGCGAGGAAACCAAGCTGTCATATTTTTTCCCAGTAAGTTGACAGAATCACAGTTAATAATGTTCGATCCTTTAACTGACCGTTTAAGCCGTGAGAACGTGGTCCGCCCTCCAAGCGACCCAAACACCAGCTGGCTGACAGTTACTGGGCGGCATTTAGCCGATGCAGAAATCGTGCGCGCAGAGCAGCTGTGTCACTTACATCTCACCCGTGGCCCCGTCAGAACATTTCGGTTGTGGAATATGAGCACAGGCAAATGGCGTGATATACCACCACCCCCGGTAATGCATTCTGCAGCAAAACTTATCACGGTCCACCGCAAGACTTATTTCTGGGACCGAGATGAGTGTTTTATGAAAATCGATACTGAAACTGGCAGGACAGTAGCCCGAAGGAAATCGCCCGCGGAAATGGGGTATGTGGCAGTAACACCGAAGCAGGGTTGCATGTCAGTTCTAAGGCCACCGTTGTATTTCCGCACAATTTGCTGACCGACAATTTATTTTCTACAATTTCCCTGCTTTTTCAATGCTTTCGTAATTGATTATATTCTTAACACTTATCGTATTTTGGTTTTTATATACGCTGCATATTCCTGTAGGCCTCTCAAGCTAGCCAATGAGATCTGGTAGGCACGCCTCAAAAAAGTCGGTACACAGAGTACTGAATCGTTTGCGCCAAGTTCAGATAGCAAAACCGATTAGGTCTGGTACTCGAAAATAAACAATACATTGAATTAATACATAGTTGAGTTTTTATTCCATATATGACGACATCGTGTCTCATTTTAACGCATATCCCATCAACTTACCCGTTTGACTCCCGTTTAGACTTCATAACTTTTTATATCTATATCTAATCTATTTTGGGTCGACCCATCGTTCAAAGAGTGTGAGAATGGAAGAGTTGTTTCAAAGTCGCGGGTAGGCGAAAATAAATGCTGTCAGCTTCGAATTCTTGTGTTTTTTACATTTTACAACTCCTCCGAATTACGCATTTTCGAAGGCTCCGTTACCGTCTTGGCTTCAGAAGGTAATTACCGAAGCGACCAATGATGCTCGTATCGGAAAAGAGGCTCGGCATTTCGTGTACCGCGCAGTGTGGAGTCGACTCCAGGTAGAAGATGATACAGCGGGGTTCGCGAATACTTGTTCATTATTGCCATGTTGGTATTTAGCGAAGTGGGAAAGTGAAGCGCGGAGAAATGGTAATTTATCCAGAAGAGTTTACGCAACAACTGCAAGACTTATTTCCCGACGACAACGTGCATAAAAATGTAAGTAGATTTTCATAGAATTGTCGATTTCTACAGTAATTGTGACTGTACTTTTCACTTTAATTTTTTTAGATGGGTCGACCCACAGTTTCTTTGGAGCAAATTTCACGGTTATAAGATCTGTTACAGTTTAAGGCTGAGAAACTGAAATAAATCTGCTGATTCGCTCGAATTTTATTTATCGTTGCATACATAACAAATAGCACCGCTATGCTCACCACAGACATTATTTCCACACCGTACACACAAAACCGTCGTTTTACGATTTTTTTTACTGGGGCAATAAGAACATGCTTTGCGTTTCCCCACTTTAGGTAAAGGAACGGAGTCGACTCCAGCGCTCTCTGGTGTCATACCTAAAACTTTGGAGATGAATACCTTCATTGGGCGATGTGCCGATGGCAGCTTCTCTTTCAGATAAGGATGGATCAATGATTCACTGAGTTCCGTCAGAAAAATACGTCTGGAATGGTTTTTTCTTGCATTCCAATCAGGGTTAAGATTTTTCCAAATAACCAAGGCATTAATCGCTGTAATATCCAGTATATTGTCGAACACCGCTTTCGTTCACCTGCGGGTTTTCCTATGTACAGTGTACTCACCTATGTATACAAAACATACCTGAAAGGAGTCGACTCCAAAGGATAAACACTGTTACCTATCATCTGATCCATAGTATCCACTCCGGCTTTAGTCGCATTGTAATCAGTAATAATCTCTGGCTTCATTTCTGCTTCTTCCGAAACGTTTTTGTCGTGATGCAAAGTGCTGAGGAGAATAACAGCTTTTCCAATTTTCGGCACATACGATACCAGCGTCATATCATCAGTAAATCCAAACTTGGCGCTGTAGAGTTCCCGTTTGCGGCAGGGCAAAAACTCGTACGGAATTTCGGGCTTATCCTTTCGCAACGTTCCAGTTATAGTAATATTCCGTTTCAGCAGTTCGTTCGCCAATTTTGTGTCCGTAAAAAAGTTGTCGCAAGTCACGTTAATCCCCGAGGTCGACCTCAAATGGGAAAGCAGATCCAACACAACACGTTGCCCCAGGTTCTTCTCCGGTGCACCCCCTGGGGGCTTCCTAGTGTACAACTGAATGTTCAACACATACCCGGTCTCCACGTCAACCAACACCCAAAACTTGAGGCCATACTTTGCTGGCTTAGACTTGATATACATTTTGAAACCACAGCGTCCTCTAAATGGGTATAGCTGCTCGTCGACAGTAGCATAGAACCCGGGATTGAACGAATTTTTGAGTGTTGATACCCAGCTGTCCCAAAACTCGCGAATTGCACACATTCTGTCCGTTTCTTGCCGTTCTTCGCGAGTTCTTTTATCATCAAGTCTGAGAGCGTTGGAAATTTTCATGAACCGGTCTCTAGACATTACGGCGTTATACAGAGGTCGACCTCGAGCCTGATTCCACAACTCTACGGTATCCGTCCGGGATTCGCGGTTCACTCCATGTAGCAACAGCAAGCCAATGTAAGCATCCAGCTCCACGCTACTCAGCGGTTTCCAGTCGTCCTTGTATTCTTTCTTCCCCTTGTAGTTGGTATGGATGAGAACGATCGCTTTCATGGCGTCAGTCATAAAGTTGTCCCATGCATCACGAATCGTAGCAATTCGACCAACCAAATGAGATTTTGGCCCTGGTTTGCAGTACACTTTGTCGCAGGATCGAAACTTTCCTGTAGCTGGCGCGCTTGAACTCCATTCTATTTCACCATTCTTTGAGATGTAAAGTTCCTTATCAATCTCAATCTCAACAGGTGCGTCAGGTTCTTCGGATGAGTTTCTGGTGCCGTCCTGATCTTCTGCATCAGACTCGTTAGTACGAGGTCGACCTCAAACGGAAACGGTTTCGCTTTTCCGGATGACATGTTACAAAATTTAAACGGATGCTAGTTTTAATTTGTTATTAGGGAAAATACAGCGATTTTTAAAAAGATTATTATCGGATCAATATTGCGCAAACGATCAGTACCATTGTTACGAGGCAAGGGCACCTGGTCGGGACGGTTTTCAGTCGAAATTTTTCCATTTTGTTTCTTGCTACAAACTGTCTTGCAGAACTTCGCATAAATTTTTTAAATGTTGTTCTTTGACTTAAGAAAACAAAGGATTCATTTATTTAGAACATTACATTAGCCGATTTTGGCAAAAAAAAACACTGCGGTAGTTATTGGCGTTTAAGGGGCCGTTTCCGGTTAAAGCGGTCTTTAAGGCCGGTCGGATTTCTCTTTTTCAATCGTTTATTTTCCAAAAAAGAATGTGCAGTTTGATAAATAATAATGTTTGTGAGGAATTCAGGATAGCCGTTACGAGCCAAAACCGCAAACTGATTTGTTGCGATTTTCTCAAGTGTGGCTGCGGCCGCGAAGACCGCCCCCGTACGAGTAGTGTTAAGTTATTTAGATTTATTTAGATTGTCTCAGCGTTTTGGTAAGGTTTCTTAATCGTTCTTGGGTTTTTCTAGTTTTTTTTCTGAGAATAGCGTTTCTGAGAAGAGCGTAGATATTTTACGTTCGTCGCGTTCATTTTTCGTTTTTTCATACGATTTTTAGTGGCTTTCGGGGCGCTAAATTACAGATCATCAGAATGTCGTCAGCAAATTATCGGTGTTTAGCAAATAGTCGTTTAGCAACCTGTCGATCGGCGAGTGCAATTTCAACGGGTTGTCGGGTAAAAATTTAGTTGGTCAGTAGGTTAGCAGTCAACGTATCTTCGGTGTGCCGAAAACAGAGAAATCCACACAGCGGGCAATTCGAGCCATACTTTCTTTTACAGGGCGGCTTCATCGGTCGAAGCTGTAGCCAAATATGGCCAGCAGATATATTACGCTACATCCACCAGCCTGTATCGGTACGATACGGATGGCGACGAATGGGAAGCCTTACAAAACTTGCCAAAAAAGCGGAAGAAATTTGCAATGGCTGTGGTAAACAGCTGCATATACATTATCGGGGGATGTTTTTGGGGACTCTCTGATGCCTGCACTTCGGAGCAGTTCTTCGATACTGGTGCTTGGGAAAATGCGCTTATTGCCTCAGCCAACTGCATTCGTCTGAGCCTTCAGAATGGTTCGTGGGAAGAAATAGACCAGCTCAGACAACCGCGATATAGCCCCGCTGCTTGTGTAACTGATGATCGAATATTTGTCTGCGGCGGCAGAAGTCTCGCAAAGAAGCACGCGCTCACAATGGAGACCTATGACACCACCCAATGCGTCCCATGGTCAACCGTTAATTTACTGCAGAAGGACATCCAGCTGCTTTCAGACTTGGCGGACAAATGCAGTTTTTACGAATCCCTGGACGCTATGTCAGTTAGTATGGATGAAGTCTGCATCGATTCAAATGCTTCTGACTAAATCCCGTATTTTAGTAAGGTTTTCAGTATAAAAATCTTGGTAAAAAAACTGATGTGTACGAATAGCGCTATGCTACGAAGTCGCTGCAACGACGAAACTGGAACAAACATCGTTTAAGCAGTAACTGCGAGAAACACAATATTTGTAACTGCGAAAAAAGCGTAACTATGAAACGGAAATGGAAAGTTTTTCATACAGTCGCCGTTTAACGGCAGATATTCTTCAGTTTTCCATGAAAGAGGTTTTTGCGCTGTTGTTGGATGCCAGCACGAACGTTTTTAAAACATTATCGACACATTCATATACTGGACCATGCTGTACGGCGAGTACCAAGAGCATCTGATGAAACGCCAACGCACTGAGTATGCAATGAGTATTGGCATGGCGTTTCCTTAATCCAATCTTAGTTTTCCTGGCATTGTCAAGTAACTTGTCGCATGTACAGAGTGGCTATGGCGCAGCAAAAAGGATTTTGCTCGAGAACGTGCGCTAGGGATGCTTTGGTACCATCAGTGCGACGCTTCAAAATTTTCACTGTTCCTCTGGTATTATAATTTTTTCGAATTAGAAGCCCTAGATTTCTAAATTTTCAAAGGTGCACGGGGTGAGGCTTATACCGCAGAGGAGGCTTATATTGTGGGGGAGGCTTTTAAATTTTCGAAGCTTTGAAACTAGCGCTACTACTATACACCGTATATGGTGAGAGGCCTCTAATGCGGAGGAGGCTACTAAATTTTCGAACTTAAGTAAGGGGAGGCTTTACGATAGAGGTTTCAATTTTGGAAGAGGCGTTAAATTCGAATTTATGGTAGCTGCAAAAAGATATTACGCATTGTGCATCACTAGTCAGTGTTAAATAGCAACTGCGTAGCTCAACGTAACCCCGTATCGATTTATAGAAGCAATTATCGACGGTTCACATGTCTAAGGCCTTGGCTCGAATTCGAACCGTATCTCGCTACGGAACAGCAGCTCCGACGCACGAGGTAGCTGTCTGAAGTGGCAACGCCCACTAATACGATTTACCAAGCCGATTTAATACCATTTAATAACCTAAGAATAACCTAAGAATAACTTGAGAATAACCTAAGAAACCTAAGAATAACCTAAAATACCTAAAAAATCTAAGAAATTTAAAAAACCCGAAAAAATCTAAGAAACCTAGAAGCCTAAGAAACCTAAGAAACCTAAGAAACCTAAGAAAACTAAGAAACCAAAAAATACCTAAGAAAACTGGTTGCATTGGGTTGACTTCTTTCTCTGTCTGAAACGGGATTTGCAAAGTTCGTTATCTTCAACTGGTAAGCGAATTTTCGATCAGCAAGTTTGTGACCTCTGCAATGTTTCGGTCAGGGATTTGTCGATTACCGACATTTTGTTGACCGACAAGTGAGCTGTCGATCAACAATATACCAGTATTATACCGGGCGCGACCTATTGACCTAGTTTTTTTAGTTTGTACGTAACTTTTACCCCTGAATCCACAAATGTTGGTCCCGAGTGAGGAAAATGAAAAATGATATACGAAAGCGTCTTAGCAAAATGTCGGCCAGCAAGTTTGAAGAAAATGGAACTGTCAGTCTGCAATCTATCAGTCAGATATTGTGTCAATCAGCAACATATCAGTTAGCAAAATGTATTGCGGCCGAAATAGCTGCCGACACGGAAATAGCAGAAGTGATCGGTTGCCGTGGTTCTATTGGTTCATGTGGTACGGAGTTAGTGTGACAGCGTGTCGGCATGTGAGAGCGCACTTGGTTCACTCGTGGTTCCATTGTGGTTCCATGTGGTTCTCTTGGTTTCATTGGTTCCATTGGTTCACGGGGTGCAGAGGTAGTGTGACAGCGCTCGGCATCAGGGAGCGCACTTTGTTCATTTGTGGTTCCGTGGTGGTTGCATCGTGGTTCCGTGGTGGTTTCATCGTGGTTAGTTCACTTGGTTCCATTGGTTCAGAACCTGGTGAACCACTCCTGGCTATTGGTTCATTCCTATGGAACCACTTAATGTCTTAACTTGGACATTCTATGCCTTTTCCTCGACATCTGCAGCTACAATTCTTATAATAAACTTCATCTCGGATAATAGATATCATTCAGAAACCTTTTTCCATGTCACCTCCCAAATGCTGCAGTAAATAGGCAGATATGTATCCAAACCGGAACTGCCATAGCCTTCTGGGTTCCAGATTAGCCCATGAAGCGGGCATCATTGGAAACACCGGCACCTGGAATGGCTCGGACAATATCACGGATGCCATTAAGAAAGCCCACTTCTCCGCCTTGGGATGAAATTAACTTTTCGGCTTCGCGGTCACGAAAATACACCAGTTTCTTATCTTTTGACAGCTTTACATATTTCCCAACCTGTAAATTTAAATACAAAATATCCGTAACAACACAAAACAAGCCTAAAAATTTTAGCAAGCCTAAAATTTATATACGAATTCTAAAGGCTGCTGTTTAGTCAGGCATACGATTATTATAAGTGCGTAAACTGAACTACCTCATCGAATGACTCGGCCATAAGTTGGAAAGAACAACTACTGTATTTGAAAATTTTTACAAAGCACGTTATCCAGTAAACTTGTGCGAAAAGTTGCATTATGCGACTATAAACTCGGGCAGCAAAGTTGTGCGTTTTAGTGCGCTCATCAAAACTTTGACATGCAGTCGCAAATATCACGTTCGATTTGGTTTATCTAGGTCAAGATAATCCAACTACAGCAAACTGAAAATATTTGCAGATATTGTTCCTCTCAAAACACAGTATGCGTACGAAGCAGTTCACAGGCGCCTGAAACGAAAGCGCATAAACCACTTCAGCACAGTCCCTAAAATATGTATGATTTGGTTTCTAGGCCAAGTTAATCACCCAACAAAAGATATAGTTCACGCCAAAAACATACATCCGGGATGTTCTACAAAAACTATCTGCAGATTGAAACTATTTGTATATCGTCCCTCTCATAACACAGCATGCGTACGAAGCAGTTCAACGGCGCCAGACACGAAAGCGCATCAATCACATTCGCTTTTGTCTATGTACATCTGGACAGTCTGCGGGCAGTAAGAGTGAACGACTTTGAAAATAACATGCGTTTTTAACTGTTGTCATATTTATTTGCAATCCAAGATGCATTGCTACCGCATTCATATCAAACATGACTGTTAGCTTGTAAGTATTTTTGTGTGCAGTGTTTCTGTTTGTA